GCAATGTATTTTCTTTTGTTCTTGCTTTGGACATAATACTTTTGGACTTGTATTCTTGAATGTCTTTCTTCCTAAATTTTAGAGGTGTGCACGGTTTGAGAATGTGTTAGGTTGACTCTAGGATATGGTATGCTAAGGTAGTTGGCTAAGAACTTTGGGACCATGAAGCTCTAGTTCACTTTCTTGTGGTAAGATGGAGTTGCTCTCTATAGTGGATATGAAATCAAGAGTTAGTTATTGCTATCCCTAGTGATGTATAATTGTTCTAGCCTTCATCATACTTTGTTGAGCGGCATATTTGGATCCTTGGCTATTGCATTCTCATATCTAGAACTTGACTTTTAGCTCCCAAGATCGCGACTGAGCCACTTTAGGGGATGACAAAGACATTTCTCTTTTTATAGGATTAATTTTCAATTTTGGATTTGGTTTGCAATTGCCCCTATTACTAGCCCATTTGAGCCATATACATTCTTTTCTCTAACCTTAATACAAGCCTTACAGCCTTAGTTTCACTTTAAATCCTACCTTTAGTTTGTGAAGCAATTTTGTTTTGGAGCTTGTTTTATTGTTTATGGTGCAAGTTTAGAATTATAAGTTCATTTGCAAAGCAAGTATGTGTTGTATATAATTTTTTGCATAAAACCAAATACATTTTGAGAAAAAGCCGTCAAAAGTTAAAAGAGGCAAGGACATTTAAAAAAAAAAAAAAAAAAAAAAAAAAAAAAAAAAAAAAAAGCTTGGAAAAAGGAATTACTGAAAAAAAAAAAAAAAAGTAAAGAAAAATGTAAAGCACAAAAAAAAAGGGTTTTGTTATTGTTGTTCTCCCTGTTTTTGTTATTTTGTGTTAAATAAGCTTGGGGGAAAGTTATTTAATAAGCATACTTGGCACTTTTGTTTTGGAATCGTTTGGATCTTGTGGAAGAAGTTCCACCCGTGCTTCACATAGGTTTACCACCAATTTCAAGAGTTCTCCACACCTTTACTCTCCTAGCTTATATGTTAATACCTTGAAAGTCCTTTTGATCCTAGAGGGTTAAGTCATTCAATGATGGCGGGAAATAGGAATCAAGCCTATAGAGCGAGTTTGCATAGCCAAGATGTCAGGTAACCTTCTCAATGTTTTTAATTTCTTATTTATTTTCCGGTTTCTTCGTGGAATCATGAGAAGCTAACTTGAAAGTGGATTTGAAACTAGTAGAGAGAACGTGGTTTGATTGGTTGAAACAAAAGGTGGAATGTGTTTCCTTTAGTTCTCTATGCTTAGCATATGTTATGTTTCAATCAACCTTGGACATCTTAGAACGTGCATACCTTTATTAATTTAGAAAGATTGACATTCATTAGTGTTTGTTCCTTCATAAAAGTCCACTCTAGAACGCTTGTAACTTTTCTCTTACTTCAATTTATTTTATCTATTTGTTTATTGCTTTGCCTTGATTTTTGTCAAGAGTTATGGGTTAAACTCTTAGGATACCCTTACGAGAGCTTACTCGTCCTCTAGAGCGATCTATGGGGTTTAAAGTTCTTGATGCATGCGCTAAATGCATTCGTGATTCCTATGAAAGTGAGTTAGTGTATATTCTTTCTCTTCTAGTTTTATTTTATTTTATTGTTTTTTTTTAAAAAAAAAAATATACATCGTTTTCCGTTGTGTTTGTTTTGTTTTGCTCGAGGATGAGCAAAAGTTAAGCTTGGGGGTGTTTGATGAGTGAAATTTATGTTACCCTTAGGGGTAGTGTATTGGTCTCTTTTCTCCTGTTTTTCTTAGGTTTTCTACCTCTTTTCTCCTCTTATGGCTTCCTTTTCTTTTATGGATGAAAAGTATGCTTATTTGCGCTTGTTTTGATAATCTTTATGCATAATTTTATCATCCCCATGCTCTCGTGATCTTTGCTATCTTTTGCAGGTTCCATGACGGTCCTAAGCACGGTAGGAGGCCCCTTGGCCAAGTATGGAGGCATGGACAAAGACAAGAGGAGCAAAAGGGAAGAAGAGGAAGCAAGAAGAGGAAGTTCAAGAGGAGGTGTGGCCGAACCTCTAAGAGGTTCGGTCGAACCAAGGTGTGGTCAAACTTTTGAAAAGTTCGACCGAACCTCCAAGGCAGTTTCAACCAAGTTTTCAGCATGTTTACAGGAGGGGTCGAACCAGGAAAGTTCGACCAAACAAGGATCAGGGAGGTTCGACCGAACCTACCCTGAGTTCGGCCGAACCTACCCTGAGTCCGACCGAACCTACCCAGAGTTTGGTCGGACCTTTTCCCGTTTCAGCTGACTTTTTGCGGAGCTTCCTAAGCAATTTTGTAAGGGGTATAAATAGTTTTTTTTGCTCATTAAAGAAAGAGGATTTTTTTCAGTTTAGAATAGTTTTTAGGTTAGTTTTAGGTTTTTAGAGAGAGAAACTCTCAAATTTTGGAGAGAGAAAGTGAGGAGCACAATGGTTTTCATGGATTTTGGATAATCAAAGGAGGAATTTGATGATTTGAAGATCTCCATTTTATATCAATGAGCATTTCTTACTCTCTTCTCTCTTTATGCTTTATTAATTGCTTTGTTAATCATGTTTGAGTAGATTTCCTTCTACTAGGTGTTGAGTGAAGCTTTGTTATGGTTAATTGAGTTATTTGAGATAAATTTGATGATAATTGTGTGATTAAATTGATTGAATTGATGATGGCATGTTGTTTGTTTTAGATTGGATTGATCTCCCAAGATAGCAAACTTAATTGCATGTTAATTCTAGTTTGACAAGGGATTGTGAATTAGAATTTATATATTTGATTGCATTTTGGGTAAATTTCTTCTATGCACCTAGTCAATGAGGGATCTAGGCTAGGAATTTGAGAGATTGCTCTTGATGGTAATTAATTCCCATTTTAATTCTTTCTTTGCATGATTGATTATCAAATCGATTCCCATTAACTTGTTAATTGTTCAAAGTGGATCTTTTCCCCTAGTAGACTTTATCATACCTTGTTCTTTATATGTGTTTTAGTGTAGTTGTAGTGTCCTTTATCCGTAAATCGACTTCGGCATAGCTTAGGCATTAGATTAAGAACAATCTAGCATTACCGTTCCTTGTGGTTCGACTCCGAACTTACCACTAGACTTGTTTAGGGGTTAGTTTAGGATTATAATAAATTTTGTTTGGCCGTGAGGAGGTTAGTCAATGACATAATTTCCCCGCGCTCACCAACCAATCATATTATTCAGCCAAGACAATTAATGATATCATATAAACAATTAATTAATCATATCATTCAAATAATTAACCATGTCATCTAACCAACTAATCATATCATCTAGAAAAAAAAACTTATTATAAGAGCCTTTTGAAATTAGTTATTGAACAATTAACTTTTTTGGTATTAAATACATTGAAATAGCTAATAATTATCAATTGTTTATCAAACACTTTTTACAAAATCATTTACAACTAGCTAGCTAAACCAACTACTTAAATCAGTTAATACAATTCAACCAGCTATATATCAATCAGCAGCTAATTACCAAATAGCTTAGGGCCATTATTTCTCTCTCCTACTAATAATCAAATACATTATATCCCTACCAACTATACTATTACTCCCTTCATATTTTATTACTTGCTCCACTATCCTTTTGCGGTTGTAATTTATTACTTGCTCTATTTTTTTTAATCTTTTAACAATATTTTACTATTTTCCTCCCCACTAGTGTTCCGACGGGCGACTGATCCCCTCATATCATATTTTAATATTTTTTTCTTTTTTATATTTTCTCTCCCTATTTATACTCACGTTTGCTTTTTCAAATTATTTTTTATTTTTCCATCAACTAATCCCAAGTCCATCATAAAAAATACCCCTTTCGTTTTGTAATAATCGCAATAGTAGTGAGGGAAAAGTTGAAGGAAAATTTTAGGGTGGGGGCCAAAGAAGGTTTTTTATTTTCGGCTTTTTCACCATATAACACTTAGTTTTTACTTAATTCACCATATACCATCAAAAACTTTCAAATTCACTATATACCATTCAGTTTTATGAAAATGTCACAACATACCCTTTCTGTTAACTCAGTTAGTCATTAACTTTAATTGTGTCACGTGACAGCTTGTAATTAGTTCTTATTAATATTATTTATTTAATTAATTAACTTTAGAAAAATTATAAATAAATAAATAAATAAATAAATAACACCACCAACTTAGCCACAGCCAGCCCAACCCTAAAACTCCGTGGGTGATATAATTTAAAACTCAGTAGCAACATACTCGGTAACGGCGTAACCTTATAAGTTATAACACTTACGACCGATGATATAATTTTCATACTTTCTCCGTTTTTTTTATTTGACTCGCTTTGACTTTTACACTATTCACCACCTCTCCGACCATCTTTTGTGAATAATACATAATTAAGGAAAAACATATTCATGTTGGATCTTTTTGAATTCGTCTCAATAAGTACTATCATAATATATAACTTTTATAAATTTTACTTTTGAAGATCAAAGTTCTTGATGGTTAAAGTTTTACATTGATAAGCGTGATAAAAGAAACAAGTGAAAGTAAAAAAGAAGTAAGTTTTAAAAATATTAACGGCAAACTTTCAAGTATGAAACCAAAAAAAAATGGGTGATTCACGAAGAAGTTAAAAATGGCAATCACCAAGGTCTGGGCGAAAGGCCCTATTTGTTTGGCTTGCAAATAGGAGGGCAATTTGGAGTTCGATGGAACCTTTTTTTTTTTTCTCTAAATTGTACGGTGGTACATTTTTGTGTACTATTATACATGCATAATGCACTATTAAAACATCAGTCTGAATAGTATTTTTTGTGTATTATATGCATATAGTGGTACTTTTTGCCATCATATTTTTCACGTTCAAGTTCCCATTATTTACCAAACTGCCATCCTATATGCAATGTGCCAATGTAAGTAAATAGGGCCCTATGCGCTAATAGTTAACCATCACCAAGTACCAAAATTCTGCGTTGTGCATACATTGCAGGCTTTCAGCAATGCACAGAAACGCTCTCAAATCTCATACCTTTTCTCACACTAGTTTCCAGTTCCACACTTCATCTTCCCCAATTCCCGTCGATTCAAACAACCAAATTCCGACGCTTCCATTATCGTCGCTTCAATGTCGAGCTATCCTACAGTCTCTTACCAACTCCAAATCCTTAAAAACAGGCAAAGCTCTTCATGCCCTTATGTTATCTTCTGGTATTCTTCATAAAATCACTAATTTAAGCACTAAACTTGCTGCATTTTATGCAAATTGTGGAAAAATGGCAGAAGCCCAGATAATTTTTGATCAAATTGAGTTTAAATCTTCGTTTTTATGGAATTATATGATTAGGGGTTATACTGGATGCGGGTTTTATCTTAAATCTGTGTTGTTTTATCGTAAAATGATTAATTTTGGTGTTCAACCTGATAATTTTACATACCCTTTTGTAATTAAGGCTTGTGGTGATTCTTTGCTTGTTGGGTTTGGGAAGATAATTCATGGTGAGGTTGTGATTAGTGGGTTTGAGTCGGATGTTTATGTGAGCAATTGTTTATTGGCAATGTACTCGAAATTCGGGGAAATGGGTAAGGCACGGTTAGTGTTCGATAGAATGTCTAAGAGAGATTTGGCCTCCTGGAATACTATGATCACTGGGTATGCAAAGAATGGTTACTCTAGAGAGGCCTTGTGTATTTTTGTTTTGTTGCTTAGATCTCGATTAGTTCCTGATTCGACTAGTTTGCTTGGTGTCCTTTCGGCTTGTTCTGATATGCAAATGGTTGAGAAGGGAAAGGAAGTACATGGCTATGTTTTACGGAATAGCTTTCTTAGTTCTAATAGGTTTTTGACCAATTCTCTTGTTGAGTTGTATTGTAAATGCAAGACAATGTTGTACGCAAGGCGGTTGTTCGCTGTCTCATCAAAGGATTCTGTTACTTGGAATACAATGATTTCAGGATATGTACAAATTGGCAAGGGTTTTGAAGGTTTAAAACTTTTCTGCCAGATGGTTTCTTATGGTGAACAACCGGACTTAGCTACGATCATTGCTCTGCTGAGGGCTTGTGAACAGGTCACTGCCATTGATTTTGGCATGTCTATTCACTCTTATCTTGTTCAGAAAGGGTTTGGTTGTAGCATTATGGCTGCAACTTCTCTTCTAGGTATGTATGCTCAATGTGGTAGGCTGTCTTGTTCACAACGTGTTTTTGATGAGATAGCTGAGAAATCTTTGGTTTCTTGGACTGCTATGATTTCAGCATATGGGCACCATGGGAAGGGAAGGGAAGCTATTTCAGTTTTTGACCAAATGGTAGGAAATGGCATTGTTCCTGACGAGGGTGCTTTTACTTGTACATTGACTGCGTGTAGCCACGCAGGACTTGTTGAGGATGGGAGAGAAATTTTTTATCAAATACAACAGAAGTATGGCATGAAGCCTGCACTAGCTCATTATGAATGCTTGGTTGATCTTCTTAGCAGAGCAGGACACTTAGAGGAAGCATATGAGATCATTAACAATATGGTAGTGGAACCGACAGATGATGTATGGGTTTCTCTTCTCTCTGGTTGTAGGCTTCATGGTAATGTTACTCTAGCTGAGGTGTCTGCTCAGAAAGTTACGGAACAAAATCCAAATAGAGTAAGTAGCTACATTTCTTTATCACATATATATGCAGATGAGAAACGGTGGGATGATGCAGAGAAGCTGCGATTTAAATTACAAAGTAAAGGACTGGCTATGCCTAGAGGTTCTAGCTTCATTGAGTAGTATGAAATGAAAGCGTAATAATTATTGCAGTTGGGACACTTGGGATACTCATTCAATTACCAGTGAATTTACGTGATACTTATGTCGTAGCAAGCAGCGATCTTCATTCTTCAATGATATTGTATGCCACTATGCCACCCATTTGAAGACTTGATTTTATGTACAATAAGTGACTGACTACAGCACGATCATATAGCAAAGGGAACTTATGAGAACTATCCGGAAAAAAGAACATGAACTTCTGTTTATTGTTTAATGAAGTGCTGCTGGGTGAACTGTTGAGGGGTTAAGAGCCATGGATATTACCAACACTTATACAATTAAACAGAAAACATTTTCTGAGACATCCTTCTCAGATTTTATTTCATTTTCGTAAGTATCCTTATGATGAAGGAGACTTCCTTATTGGAAAAAACAACAACAGCATCAACGGAGGAAACATCAACAACAATTAATAACAATTAACAACAAACAACGAGACACCCAGTGAGGATCCCCACAGATAGGTTCTGTGGCTTCCTTATTAGCCTACCTGGGTCTTATTAGCCTATCTTAACAGAAACATTATTTTCTTGCTTGACAATTGCATGTTTGCCAATTGCCTTGTGTTTAACTCTATTATAGAAGCTTCTCAAACTTTCATATCCGTTTCATTGTCAAAGGGAAATGGTTCCATTGGTTTAGTTGCTTCTAGAAGAACCTGCAGTGGAATCTTTGGCTTTGACTGCTCCAGCGGAGTGATGTGCCTTCCATAATTTTCAGGGTTTGGACAGTACTCCTGAACATAATTGTACGAATATTAAAAGAATGAAGACTTTTGTGCCTTTTCCATAGAAGCTCAATTACATTCATATATTTTGATGGTAAATCTGGTCACTTACTTGATCAGCATGCATTTTCCTTACAAATGTCTTGAATGTTCCAAAGTTACCCCCATCCAGTAGCTGATTGCACAAACGAAGATATGTCAAGCCATACATTTTCAGTTTTGGTGGACCATCTCTGTTCACCCCATTTGGCCTGGCATTCAGCAGCATCTGATCATAAGCATTGGGATCATATCTGGGAAGTGCATTTTCACCTGCAACCTCAATACTTTCTCTCCAGCTAGCACTTAAGACCTGCACATATAAATTGTGCACCATGTCAAAGGTATGGAAATTCGCATGGAATTATTTTAGTAGCATATCTTACTAATCTAATGATTGTTTTTGAAAAGAATATTGTTGGTGCTTATGTGCATTTTGATATCGTCATATTTGTTATGTAACAACAAAATGAAATTGGCAAGAGTTTTTGATGGTTTGAACTTGTATAGGTTTTAAACTTTTAATGAAAGATCTCTTATAAGTCAATAACTTGCAAGGTCTTATGACCAATTATCAAATGTAATATATCATGCTACACTGTTTCAGATGCTTTTGATCTGACATGGTAGAGAAAGATTTTGTTGTTAAGCTCCCATGCTCTCACCTGTTTCACAAGCTCTTGTGGAGCACTTTTAGCATAACCAGGCTGTTCATAGTCCTTCATCTCCAAACATGTAAAGTCTAAAACCCCATAGTGACGAGAAAGCATCCTTGCTATTGGACGATACCCGTCTCGGTCTTTCAAGTTGTAATATCCTGCAGTAACCTCAGCAGCATGACTGTCATCGTTGTACCACCAATGTATTCCAGAAACCTGGTTGTCAATTGAAAACAAATAAAATTAGTCACCTTGTGGATAATACTTTCTCTAGCAGTTGATGCTCCTATGACTATATTTACTTACCTTTGCTGCTACTTTGACTTTGCAGCCACAAAATGCTGTATTTGCTTCTTCCAGGATCTGATCACCATGGATCAATAACTTGTTTGAATACCAAGTCAAGAAGAATTTTCCACTTTCAGTAAGGTATGTCCCATTGTTTCTGAAAAATTCTGTGGCTTCTGGTCTGTCATTATATTGCCCTGCATTTGCTGGTAATTCCCACTCAGGATGGCCAGCCTCAGTTGCTGCTTTTTTAAAATCCTCTTTCAAATATTTGTCATAGCACTGCAAAATAGAAAATCGAAACTCAGCTATTTTCTAAATACAAGGTATTTTTATCAGTTTAATCACACATAAGTAGGCATATCGGATTAGCTGGCAGAGCCAATTTCGTTTAAACCTGAAATTCCCCTATTCCTGGGTAGCTCCATCCTTGATTTTGTGGATAAGAAGGATAACGTAGTTCACCAGCTGGGCCAAGGCCTACTTCAATGTCAACTATCACACCAGCATCTAGAAAATCTGACATACTCTGTCTGAAGCTCTTCATGTAATCACTATAGATCTGTGAAGTTATAACAAGAAATTAGTGCCATTTCTCTCTCCTTTTTCAGGCATGTGCGTTATTGTTTATGTGAAGGACAAACTATTGAATTTAGGGAAACCTAGGCAATTAAAACTCCATCTAATACATTCGTGTATAACTTATTTGGTAAAACTGCAGGCTTTAATTGGGATATTTGGAGAATAGTTACCTGAACGGGAGTTCGTCCTCCAATGATAGCTTCATTATCAACACCAATAGTCAGATACTCTTTGTTTCTGGTACCCCTTTTATTAGTATAGAAAATATCAGGGTTAGTATCTCCAACTTGAAGTACCCATTGAGGAAGTGGAACATTCACAGCATCTCCTACATTCCCTCCACATTGATGAAATGACATTATGGCTTGTACTTTCAGGCCACAATCCTTTATGACCTGAAATAAGCTTCTGTAAGCATTCCAATTGTATTGCTTAGGTCCTTTAGCTTCTATTATTCCCCACCAGACGTCAACCATGACTCCATCAACTTCTGCTTCCTTCAGTTTGTATAGCTGTCTCTTGATGTCATCCTGGTTCTCAAAGTTGTTGTCATCTGTAACCACTCCCAACTGTTTCCATCAAACAAATAAAGAACTTGTCATTCTGTGACTTTGTTATTCGAGTAAATTAAGCTGATGCTTGTGTTAATCAGGGCTTACCGGTAGCATTGCATAGACGGGCACATAGTTCAGAAGAATCTTTGCCATATCTCTGACTCTAGCTGGGACCTGCATTATCTTATTGAACTGTCATTGGGAATCAAGAGGAAGATTGGCAATTTTAATGGGAATAGGCAAATAGAAGATTCTTTGAGTGCACTGATATGGGACTGATCATAATAGATGTACATTTAATTAATCTCAAATAGCTAAACAACCAACCACATGTTTCTCTAGCTGAGATCCACATTGTTAGTTGCAATATGATGCATTCTCATAACTACACATAGAGTTCTTGACATTATTGACAACTTATCATGGAGGCCCAATTTTAGAACTTTTTCTACGGTCACTTACAAACTTGAACTATTCTAAATAGGTGGATTTCAAGTTCAAATTTTCAATCCTATTTTTTAAAAAAAGAGTTTCGCGTTTTCAATCGTCAATGATGATTACATATTTAGAAGAAATAAATAAAATACTAAATAATTAAGAAAGAAAGAAAGAAAGAAAGAAAGAAAGAAAGAAAGAAAGAAAGAAAGAAAGAAAGAAAGGAAGGAAATAGAAACCTAACTAGCATCAAGATAGCTATAAAATGTCTTATATCTGATGATATGAAACATGATAATAACTTGTAAATTTCAAAGAGGATGGATAAATAATCTCTTACAATGCACACTAATCAAAGTGATTGATTGATCCTTGTTTCTGAAATCAGGTTCTCTTGAACAATTGGAATGCTAGAACAGACAGTACAGTTTCTTTCTCTCTTAAACAAAATGATCCTTGTGTTTGGCTGTGATTTTTTCTTGCACTTCGATTGATGCTATTTAAACTAATTCTCTCTGAATCTGTTACATATATAGCCAACTAAATATGTCACGATTGAAAATCAAGACTTTACTGACTTTTGCCTTTTGATTCTAAATGATGGCCACCCCTAAGTTCTGTGATTATCAACTGCTTTTTATGAAATCAAAATCAACTGTGGAGCTTGAACATTACATAACAATGAACGGTCTATTTTAGTATATCAAGACCAACTGCGGAGCTTGAACCTTACATAACGATGAACTGTCTATATTATGATGTCTGGATTAACTGTGGAGCTTGAACCTTACATAACAATAAGCTGTCTAATTATCCTATGACGTTTTCAGAGATCCTTCCAAAGGCTGTTAGTAATTCAGTTCTGCATGGGAATGCACAATCTTCTTCTGCAGCATATTGCAGAGATAATCTTACATCTTCATGAATTGATATTGAAGATAGTATGAAACGTTGAAAATAATGGACACTAGGGAAGTAGGGGAATGCCTTGGTGCATCAACTTCACGGAGAAAGATTTGCTTAACAGGTAATATAAAGCTGACCAACAATTTGCTAAACCCTGTAGGCCTGTGCTACCTTCTTTTCTGGATTACTCGTCTATGCTTATGATTTAAACTCGAAAATGTCTTGGTCCTTATTTTCTATGTTAAATAACGAATTCAATTTACGTTTGCATTCCTTCATTAAGCTTAAAGAACTTGGGTTTTTCTCTTATATTGTGAATGCAGAATCACTGCTGGATTGTAGAATGCCAATTGCAAGACAGATTATGTATCAGTTTTTCCAATGTAATTGCAAGATTAAATCTAAGGTTCAATTTGTATTCAATTACCCGAATGCTACTCTTTCTAATCCTTTTGCAAAAATGACAGTTTCACTATCTTTGTACTTCATATTATGTAATAAGAAGTATATACTAATCATTTATGGACCTTAAAACAAAAATTATCATCAGTGTTCTACAGTGTACCCATGCTAATACACAGGAAGTGTCGAGTTTAGAAAGAAATACAATACGGAGTACTAGAAAAAAGAAGTGGAACATAAGGGAAGTTATTGTATGGTGTCATTTTGTCTATTTATTTATGATTCTTCTTCTCTCACCGCCCCCCCCCCCCCCCCATCCCCTCGAAACAGTGTCTGATATTGGTTTCAGGATCTAACGTCAGTTTCAGTCCTGCCGCAAACTGATTTCAGTTGCAAACAGATTCGTTTTGCGTCTGCACTCTTTGTTTTTTATTCTGTTGACTTAACAGAAACTGTTGTGAAGTTAAGACTATCGTCAGAAGTGGTTTTTCAAGATAAAGTGGTAGGCTTGCCTCCTCATTTTCAGCTTTTCAAGCTTCAGAAACAGTTACTGCTGCTTCACCTTGCTGTAATTTGCGCACCTAGTTAATGCTGAACTAATTTTTAAAAATGTTACGTGTAACATTTTCTACTACAATAGAAGCCACAGCCACAGGTTACCAATCTTACCATCATGTACTGCTTCCATATGTTCATACTCATGTATAATACGGAGTATATGTTTCAAATGTATTGTGGCTATTGTTATTATTTTCAATCTCGGCCGTTCATTTTTAAAAACCAATCTTGTACATCCATCCAAGTGACTTTAAAAGTTATTTAAATATTATAAAATAAATAAAAAAAAAAAACTGTTTTCTAGTTATTTTAAAATAAAATAAAATAAAGGAAAGTAATGCAAAAGAATGTGGGTTTCTCTCCGATCTTCCATATCTATGAAGACATTAAGGATAATAGCTTGCTTTTCAATTTCTGTATTTTCTCTCATGTTAAAAGGGCTTGTAACACAGTTGCGCATTGTATAGGTAGATGCCTAGATGGGATATGAATAATTATGATGAGTATGTTTGTATTGGGTCTATTCCCCAAAGAGATTTCTGTATTTGGTGATTGGCCATGGGAGTTTTGATGATTGGTAATTTCATATTTACCAAAGCTCAAAATCGTCGTTAAAATTTTCCAACGGATTCAAAAGTAGAATCATCCGTCCTATTTTAGAGAATCGATTGAAGACCTAATAACATAGCCATATGGACTCATGATATAAGCATATATCTAAAATCCTCTAGGAAAGATCTTTCTATTTTCCCTACCCTTCAAGAAAGAATTCTCCCACCAAACAAACATAAGATTTTTCTCCCTGGCTAATATGGAGTATATAGGAGATAATAAAATTTTATGATGTAAAACTGTAAGTGAAGTTATTCAACGCACTCAATAACATCCAATTATATTGACAATTGCCGATGGATTTAAAAAGATAATGACATTTCTCTCTAAATTTTAAGATCATTATATGTACATTTAGGAGTAGTAATCTGGTTCTTAATTGTTACACGAAACTGAACATTAATTTTTTATTTTTTTTTTTGAAGGACAACTGAACATTAATTTAAGTACCTACCAATTAGAGGCTTTTAATATGTTTCTTTAGTACTACTACTTGTTCCAAACACCTTAGGTTAGCCTTATAATAAATTCTACCTTAGAATCGCTATGACTTTATAATTGAAGTTTACCAAATTAATCAAGTGTATAATGATTAGCAACTAATAGAGTTGATCAATTGATTAATACTTGATTAGTGACGTTTGCTAGACATATGACCTCTTTTGTTAATACGAACAAATGATGATATAATAAGAAACATAAGTAGTGGACATCAATCAACTTTTTTTGTTATTTTGATTTAATAAGTCCAAATGTTTAATACATAAACTCATTAATTCTTTCTTTCTTTCTTTTTTTTTTTTTTTTTTTTTTTAGGGCAACCTCATTGGTTCTTCAAGAACTAATAATGAAAAAATAATCATTGGTTTTTCTTCATTATAATTCATTTCAATTTTCATGTTTCCTTGTAATCTCATAAGAGTTGTTCTATTAGCCTAATTAATCACCTAAATAAAATACGGAGTAATTATTTAAGTTATAATTGATTGGAAATTTTGACTTTTACTACCACAAAAACACATGGTTTTCAATTTTGCTACCCCTCAATTTTATTTTATTTTATTTTACTACCACTTAAAATCACATTTGTTAAAATTTACTACGAATTGACGGAATCTGTTACTATTGTCGTTTGTGGGCCCACTTCAACCTTGCCTCTTTCTCCTCCTTCCCCAGCCACCAATCCCTTCCCCTCCCACTCCCCCTCCACCCCCAAGCCACCTGGCCCGCATCTCCCCTTCCAATCACCAACCCAGCCATCCCCCTTGGTGGATCCACCCCTTCCCCTCCCCTTTCCCCGTCGCGCCACCCACCCTAGCCCAAACCCCTAACCCGTGAAACCCCACCCCCTTCCTCCACCACCCCGAAACCCCACCCCCCTTCTCTCTAGTTTGAGGGGCTGGTGGTTTGGTTTCTGGTACGGTGGTTCTGGGTTGGGATCATGGGTGGTTCTGGGTTGGGTATTGTGGGTGGTTCTGGGTTGGGTATCGTGGGAGACTGTGAGTGGGGGATTTCGTGGCTGGTTTTGGGTTGGGTTTCGTGGGTGGGTTTGGATTTTCGATTTGGGTTCAGCGATGGTCGATTTGGGTTTAGGGGTTGTTGGCGATGGTGAGCTTTCGGTGATGGTGAGCTTCGATTTAGGGGTTGTCGGCGATGGTGGGTTTGGGTATGTGAGGGTGTCGGGCTTGGTTTAGGGGATGTCAGTGATGGGTGATGGTGGCTGGTCTGGGTTTAGGAGGGAGTCGGTGGTAGTGGTGGGCTGGTGAGTTGGCTAGTCTGACGCATTTTCTGGTGGTGGGGTTGAGGGGGGTGGTTGTGAGGGTCGTTGGCGCCAGCCAAAGCTTTGGGCGTCGGTCGCCGGCAGGGGGAGGGGTGAGGCTAGTTGACGAGGGGGTGGTGGGCTGCTTAGGTGGAGAAAAGGGAGGGGGGAGGGTGGCTGGGTTTTTTTTTTTTAAACATTTTAATTTTTTAATTTTTTTTAATAAACTTAGGGGGGGTGGTGGGCTGCTTAGGTGGAGAAAAGGGAGGGGGAAGGGTGGCTAATTTTTTTTTTAACATTATAATTTTTTTTTTTTTTAATAAATTTAACGGAATCCTAACAGATTCCGTTAAATGGTAGTGAAATTTAACAACTGTGATTTTAGGTGATAGTAAAATAAAATAAAAAAATTAAAGGGGTAGCAAAAGTGAGATGCATGTGTTTTGGTGGTAGTAAAAGTGAAATTATCTTAATTGATTTGATGATCTCAATGAGTTACTATGTGCATATATCTGGTAACTTGCAGCATGCAGTTTAATTATCAAACCCCTTCCCTAAGTATCTAATCTAAACTCGAATATTGATTCATCAGAATAGTGAATCCAATATCAACGCTAAAAAAATTATTATTTACAATTCAATCCACTTTGTTTAAATTGACTATCATTATTTATTATTTTTTTTATTAAATTGACTATCATGATTAATATATCTTATTATTATGAAATTGTGTATTATACGGAGCACAAACTAGTGTAATATATTTATTAGCTTCTCAAAAACTTTTCATAATAACTTTCAATCTATTGATTTTTGGGGTTCCAACAAATCCTCTTTATAGGGAAAATATTAGTCTATTAAATATGTACTTAGTATTAGTCTATTAAATATGTGAACGTGGTTGATTCATTCTGATCTAATAGGGAAAATATGATCGAGATACGTATAGTACATGAAAAAATCAGGCTTATTCATATCTCTATTTATATCTTTGTATATTCAACACTAAATTGAAAATATTATATTATATCTAATGGATACACAATATTTTGATTAAAATCGTCATGAAATTATTAATAATCAATTAATGTAAATGTTTTCATTGTTATGCATTAATCTAATTATAGTTTAAATATTGTGAGATTTAGTAGATGAACTTTATAAATCGTTTAATTGCACAGGTAGTATACTAGTCAGATACTATTCCAAAAATTTTCCAACTAAAGTCACACACATGCACGATTGTGCGCACTCTTAGTTAGGGAATATCAATGGGCGAGGCGGGGCGGGGCGGATGTTGGCCTTCCTATCCCCATCCCCACCTAAAATTTTCATCTACATCTCTACAGCGGGTCCAAAATTATATGCTATAATTACACGCTTTTTTGTTTTTAATATAAGTGTATTACAAAGTATTATACTATGTATTTATAATTTTATTTTACATAATTTTCTTATAAAATAGTATAATAATGTATAATTTTGTTTTTAAAAACATAAAGACGTAGGAATGGGGCGGGTACAAAGTGGGGTGGGGTGGGTATGAAGCGGGGCGGGTACAACCTAAAATCCACCCCCACCCCATCACCCATGACGGATTTGATTTTATCCTCATCCCCTCCCCATCACCAGCAAAACTAAAACTCATCTCCGCTCCATTGAGACAGGGATACGACGGATCTCTTATTTGACCTGCTCCATTAACATCCTTACTCTTAGTTTGGTAGACATATATAATTTCTCTTCAAATATAAATTCTCATAGAAATTTGTCAAACAAACAACCACAAAAATTTTCGGATCTTCATATGCAGTTATGCAATGTGGGCCTATGTGGCACCAGGCCATCAGGACAGTAAGGCCAGCAATTTAGCAAAAAGAATTTTACGTAGTATTTGTTTGTAATTGATGGGCCCATACACAGTAATCAGAAACTTGCTTTTCATATTGACTCAGAAATCAAAATATCGCTGAATGAAAGCCCACTATATATCATGAGCCCAAACATAAGATTATACATTATCGACCTTTTATTACTTACTACGGAGTAGTTTATAGTCCCATGTAATGCACGGAGTTACAAAAATTTGTATTTCAACAATTTTTTTAATAATTTTTTCCTCTTTATAAAAAGTATAACAAAGGTTAAACTTTTTTTTTTTTTAAAAAAATACTCCATACAAATTTATATAAAAAATTATGCACATCTTTTTAATAAAAATACTTTGCTTAAAATAAGTAGTTGCAAAAATGTTTTATATAATTTAGGAGGGAAGTAATATATTACAGTAGTAAATA